GGCTGGGGCACCGTGGGCAGGTCGGCAGGTCAGGGCTTCTTCGTAGGTGGGGATGGCGCTGGAGTCCCAAGTGCTGGGAGGGAAAGAAGAAGAAACCCAGCAGTGCACCCCATCAACAAGAGCGTCCCAGCGTCCATAAACCAGAGCATCCCAGCATCCATCAACTGGAGCATCCCAGCATCCATCAACCGGAGCATCCCAGTATCCATCAACCAGAGCATCCCACCACCCAGCAACTGGAGCATCCCACCACCCAGAAACCAGAGCATCCCAGCACCCAGCAACTGGAGCATCCCAGCACCCAACAACTGGAGCATCCCAGCACCCAGCAACCCCATCAGCTGGAGCATCCCTGAGCATGGTGGACATGTGTGCGCTGAGGATGGCACATGGGCAGGTTTTCCATGCCCTGAGTCAAGACCACTTCAGCTGCTTCCTGGCACCAGGAGGGTGGGGATCCAGGTGGGAGGAAGGGCACCATCCATCAGACCTTGTAACAAAGCAGCTTTGCCCAGTTCCCACTGAGCTGATCAACCCCTTGTGCAAGAAGAGGAAGGGCAAGCCTCGAAGAGCTGCCACCTCTGCTGTGAAGAGCTACAACCGCAGCTGTGGCTGACCACAAAGCAGCGGAGGTGCTGGCTCTGGAGACATCCGCCCCTTCGCTCTGCACCGCGCTGCTTCCCACGGGCAGCAGAGCACCCTCAGTGCCTGCCTAACCCCAGAGTCACTCCCCGAGCACAAACAGCCGGGCAAGGGCCGGGCATCCCGGTTCAACGCGGTCGCACCCCACCCTTGTGCCCGCCGGAGCCCTCCACACGCCGGCCAAGCCCGGTGACACTTCCAGCAGCGCTTTGCTGAGCAAACACAGCTTCAGTACAGGGAAAACCTCCACCCTGGAGGAGCTGCAGCAGCACCAGCAGTGCCAGGGAGATCCTTGGCCTTCCCATCTGGCACAGGGGCCGGGAGCTCAGGGAAGGGGACATTCACAGAATCACAGAATCACAGAATGGTCGGGGTTGGAAGGGACCTCTGTGGGTCACCCAGTCCAACCCCCCTGCTGAAGCAGGGTAACCCAGAGCAGGCTGCACAGGACCTTGTCCAGGCGGGTCTTGAATATCTCCAGAGAAGGAGACTCCACAACCTCCCTGGGCAGCCTGTGCCAGGGCTCCGTCACCCTCAGAGGGAAGAAGTTCTTCCTCAGGTTCAGACGGAACTTCCTCTGCTTCAGTTTGTGCCCGCTGCCCCTTATCCTGTCGCTGGGCACCACTGAAAAGAGTCTGGCCCCATCCTCCTGACACCCACCCTGCAGATATTTAGAGGCATTTCTAAGGTTCCCTCTCAGCTTTCTCTTCTCGAGGCTGAACAAGCCCAGCTCCCTCAGCCTCTCCTCACAGGAGAGATGCTCCAGTCCCCTCATCATCCTCATAGCCCTCCGCTGGACTGTCTTCAGTAGCTCCTTATCTTTCTTGAAGTGGGGAACCCATTCCCCGTGGGGGACACAGCAAAGCCCTCCACGGGAGGAGGAAGTCCCCCAGACTACCCAGACCGGCTCACGATCTCACCCCCAGATATTCAGAAGGGCACTGAAACCCCCGGAGAACCAGGAACGTGCCTCCCGCACCGACTGAATTTTTATGGTTTTATGTTCTTAAGAGCTTCTTTTAGTGATGTTTTTCCCCAGAGCCTGATTTATGCTGGAGCCAAGATCTTTGCTGTGACCCCATAAAACAGCACTGGGAAGGGCCGGCTGGCTTGGCTCCCACAGCAGCCTCTGGAAAAAAACCCTCTTTTGATCAAAAAACTTTTAAATCAAGAAGTGGGAATAAATCTCAGGCTCAGGCGGGAAGAGTCTGGGGATCTGACAAGCAGCAGTGGTGTATGGGGGGGTGAGGGGGTCTTCCCACACCCCGAAACGGGCTACAGAGCGAGCCCACCTGCACTCCCCTCTCTCCTTACGCCAACCCCAGGATTATTTTCCTCTTTTTCACCCCCTTTAACATAGATTTTTAGTCCCTTAAAGATGGCACAAACCCCATCATCCTCAAAGAGCACTGCAGACCTGCGCCACCGGGGAAGGTCTCGACAGCGGGATGTCCTGACGACACCGCCACCCCCCTAAACCCAGACCTTCTCCCAGAAAACCGATGCAGTTTTCCACGTGGCAGCTCCACTAAGGAGACTTCTGCCTCGGCCAGTGATGGCCCCGTGGGGCAAGGAGAGCTGCCTGAGGCTGAGCCCGGCGTTTCTGCTCCCCGGATGCCAGCAAGCAAGCCTGAGAGCAGGCTCCGCTCCACGGCCGTGCCGGGACAGTCAGACCCACCCTCGACTTCTTCCCAGCCAAGCATGGGACATGGCACCCACCTGCGGTTCCACTTCTCCGGAGGCTCCGCGCTGAAGTACTGCAGGTCCCTGGGGAAGTGGTACTGGTAGCGGCGGGAGACCACCCTGGTGTTGGCTTTCACGGACCAGAGGAGACCAAAGAGGAGGAGGATGCCGCCGATGCCGCAGCAGAAGAAGCTGACGGAGCGGAGCAAGGCGCCGGAGGAGGGGCTGGGCACGGGC